CCAAAGATAGCCTGGTATGCTGATTACCTGACCAGTAGTGAGAGTGCACTTCTGGGTCCATGTTCAGCTTGGTCTGCAGTAACATCCAGGTCATTTTTAGTGAAGCTGCAATTCAGATGTTCATGGGCTGCACAAGCGTGTGCAGCTCTTCCACTTGAGATGCAGAATTCTTACTGAACTTTATGAGGTTTCTGCTGGCCAAGTCCTCAAGTATATCAAGAGCCCTTTAGAATACAGCTCTGCCATTTGTCATGTTAACCACTCCCTCTTAATTTCTTATCCTCTTGAAATTTGCTGAGGGTGCACTGTGTGTCATGATCTAGGTCATTGATGAAGATATTCACTGACGCCTTAGGTATCCTGACCTCCTCTGCTCATCACTGACCACTTGACACATGCCAAGTGATGATCATCACCCTTTGAGCCTACTGGTTAAGTCAGTTCCCAGCTCGGTGCCTTCTTTTAGTCCACTCTTCCTCAGCTTTCAAAGCGTGCTGTAGGTGACTGGGTCAAAAGCCTTACCAACACCACTGCGTGCAAATGAGCATAGTCGTGCTGGGAGAAGGATAACCAGCAAGGTAATACAGCGCACAATCCAGGAGAAACCCAAAAGGCTATCCACAAGGTTTCTAAACCATTACAAACTGTGCTTCTTTTCTGATTAGCTGTACATGTTCATCCAACACTTCCTCATGTTTGGATGAGAGGCTGTTGGAAGAGTTTTAAAGGGTGCTCCCTGTGTTGCAGCTTTTCCTGCCCACAGAAGAGGTGTGAGAAATACCTTTGCAGCCACTCCCCATGACAGCTACAGGAGAAAAGGAATTACCATGTGCTGCACGGCAGATCCCAGATGCACATTAGTGGGAGTTATGGCATGGGCCAGGTATGACTTTGGAGTCAGCTGTGTTTTCCCTCAGCAAAGAAGCATTCCTGCCCAAGGCAGCACCTGTGTGCACTGCTTGGTGAAGGGCAGCCACTCTCCTCTCATCCAAGCAATTAGAAATTTCATCAGGAAAGTCAACAAGTCTGGAAAAGCACATAAACTGGTTTTAGTCAATCTCTGATGACTATTCCAATTACCTTCTGGGTCCTTAAATGCTTGGCAAATGAGTTGTTGAGTACTTAGCTTTTCCTATATTATCTATCGCTACAATGACTTCACTTCATTGCCTTCTTCCTTCCTCAAACCTTCATTTTTTAAAGTAGCACACATCTGCAGAATTATTTTTGTTTTCCTGTATGACCCTTGAGGGTAAGTATTAGCTCAAATCAATCAGCTTTCTAATTTTGCCAGCAGTCAAACAGTCAAGTAATGCTTGTCTGTATTTTGCATTTTAGGTCATCAGAAAGCTCTTTGCTCAGCCATGAAGGCCTTCTGCTGAGTCCCCTCCTTTTTGCTCAACAGGATGGTTCTTTCCTGAGTTCTCAATAAGTTTTATTTAGAAACCATCCATCTTGCATGGGCCCTGTGTTTCTGTGGCAGCATCCCAAGAGATTTCGCTAAGCAACTCTCCAAAAAGGCTGTAGTCTGCTCTTCTGAAATCTTAACAGCTGACTATCTTTCCAGACTTCCTTTGAATTAAGAACTAAACCAATTCATAGACACTCTGATCCCAGCTGTTATTTGTCACCACCTTTGCCACAAATCCTATTTCTCCCCTCTAGCAGTATCAGGGACTGGTCCGGAACACAACCAATGAATCCCCTGCACTGCCTGCACAACCATTTAATCTTAGTAGAAACTAAAACAAGCAGCGTCTTACTTGCCATTTGTACTGATACAATTATTAAACATATAGTTTTCATCCACTTTCGATCCCATATTCTACTAACCTGAACTTGTAATGGTGGTAACTGCTGTAAAAAATGCAGGAAGCCAAAGTTTCCATTCTAAATGAATTTAAAATAAATCCAGAAAAAGCGAGAAGTAAAATATGCTCATCACTGACAGTATTTTGTACCAACAATACACACAACTTAAAAAAATCAGTAATTGAGAGACAACATTCAGCTTAAATAAAATTTATGACTGAAGATGATTTGTTACTTTTCCATCCCTTGTGCTCAGATTAGTTTATTTTTTATACAGACTGAACTGAATTTTTTTCAGGCACAGATTCAATATCAGACCAAAAAAATACACATTTTTATCAACTGACACACTTATTTTTGTTAGGCAAAACAGATGTATTTAAGTTAAAAAAACCCCCAATCTTAGAATTGGAATGAACAAACAAAAAAATATAAAACCAGCAGGAGGAAGTGGGCAAATTAAGTCAAATGTTCAATCATTTAAGCTTTACTGATAGATTCATTATCACAAGTAAGTTAAAGGAAGCTTGTCATCTGCCTCACACAAATCACTTATACAGAGAATTCCAAAATTGCAAAAGCCTTTTTTAGTGGAGAAGTTACTGCTCCAAATATTTTTAGCTGGCACAAATTAAAATCTGCCAAAAGTGTTGCAAGACTGCATGGGTAATAAATTTCTTTATGTGAGCACAATGCAAATTAGCCCTGTAAACCTATTAGAGCAAGAACCAGGTACTTTGAATGGATAGCACTGCAGTAGCTGGCAAATATCTTAATTATAAAACATTACGTGAGAAAACCTAATTGTAAATGCTGCAATCAAGGTGTCTATAGGTTTTACTAAAGTTATCAATGTGATAATTGAATTCCCAAAAGATTTTCTGAATTGGTCAGCAACAAAGACTTCACAAATATCTTTTTATTTTAATGGCAGACTCATCAGCAAATCCTATGGCATTGAACAGAAAGACTGCATTCACTATTCTGAGTTTATAGCTGTGAAAATGACGGTGAGAATTAACTGCTGCATTTCAGTAGTCCCACTTGAATCAATAGGCAATAATTAGATGAATGAACATTAAAAAAAAAAAAACAAAACAAAACAAAAAACAACTCAGCAGCATTTAAGGGTTAAATGATTTGGTTTTTAAGGCCAGAGCTTCTTAGTCATTGTAGTTAGAGAAGAAAACTGGTCTACGGCTCTTGCTTGGGTGTCTCAGATGTATGTGCATGTCCAGCAAGGAAATGTAAAGGATAGAAGAGTCATTACATTTCCTTGACTTTATGACTATATTTGTTTTCTCTTTGTGCTTTTGCTTCCTGATGTGCCATATTGACTATCGTCACTAATAAAATGAAGCTCATAATAGCCTCCTCCTTTTCAATAGGTCAGAGTTAACACTTGTTCAGAAAGATGAGATTTCCATCCGATTTGTGCTGTGGCATTCAGAGCTGCTCCTGTCACTCGACACCCTTCTTTCTGCCAGTGCCTCACACCTGTCACAGAAGGTCATGCTCATAGAGTCAGCAGCTCCTGTCCATAGTGCCAATGCCACAAGAAGATTTTGGATCTCAGACCTTCATTAGCCAACACATTAATTCAGAAATACAGACAGGAAAAAGAACACAGGAGTGGAGTATTTCACAGAATATACAGAGTTTCTCTGGGCATTTATTTTTTTCCCTCACAATAATGCAAAATGGATATTGGTGTGAATACCTCAGACAAGAAACAGACTGCCAGTATTTCATTTTTCTCTCAGGAGCTAAACCAGTGCAACTAACTTATTTAAAAACAGTCTAAAAATAGCATGGGAATGCATCTTTCTTCCCAAAAAAAAGGTAAAAAGGACATCCTCATTAATTTGAATATATATCCTGCATGGTTCTTTATAGGCTTTCTACTGGATATCTGCTAAACTATTGGACTAAGAGTGTCACTGCCTTTCCTTCTATGACTATTTTTTCTTTTCTTTTTTTTTTTTTTCAGAAGTAACTAGAAAGTTAAAACCAGCTACATCATCATAAAGAAACAGGACTAACAATACATTGCCACTTTACAAACCTTCTAACTGTTTAAATGGTCTTGTCATTGCCAGGACTGCTTATGTCTTTTTTTAAAATTAATCCCTTCACTTTCTGTGACTTCATGATGCCCTTAGCTATTATTTGCTTTTAAGGCTGCAATATTTTTGCTGTTTTTTAAACTTTTTCTAACCCTTTCTCACCAACAGTGGTGCTGACATCTCATTATAGAAGAAGACCATTCAGCCCTACAAGTTTATTGACAAAGCCTTCATCATTGCAAGCCAGATATTTTAATATTGGTATTCTCCCTATACATAGGTATTTGAGAAATTATGAGATCATTATTAGATCAGGTAAAAACACTGGTACAGTACAGATTTCATGAAATCAATGTTGAACTATCAATTAAAAATATAAATTCTTGGAGTCATTTGGAGAAAATCCATCCTAACTGAATGTCTTATGAGTTGAAGGAAATCAATTTCAAACAAAAGAGAAACTCTTTTAACCAAGACAGGGAAGAGAGGTGTGGTTTCCACACATTTATGTCCTGATGAAACACTGTATCATGATTTAGTTGCTCTGAATCTGTCTGATCCAACAAGTTAAGCTGCTCGAGATAGTAATCACATGCAACAAGAAAAATGAAATGCAAATTAGTGGGTTATGAAGCTGATGAATACGTAAGTGGATGAGATTCTTTGACTTGTAAGACACAGCAAGTCACGTTAGAGGATCAGAACAGCCTCCTCCTAGCACCAAAAAAAAAATAATCTCATTTTCTGAGGCATTAGACATTATAATGAAGGCTCATTTTCCAAACTGAACAACTTCTGTCTTCAAAGGTGAATGGTAGTGTTCTTCAAACAAAAAGATAAATATACACTGTCTCATCAGTGACATTCAGTGTTCATCTAAACCAAGGCATAAAAGAAACCTCCCAGCATTTTCCTCTGTGTCTCTTCTACCTTGAAATTAACCACACAGATACAATTCTGCTACTGTACATCCATATATCAGTCACAATTCTTTAGGGATTATTAAAAAAAAAGTCTGAATAGAAATCTATATATGCTGTATTTTATTTGAGATGCATTGAATGCTTAACTTTTGTCCATTAAAATTGCATGAAAGGGAACAAATAAAGAGAAACATCTGACCTGGTGTAGTCGTCCTCCACAAGCATGTGCTTTGGAATGGGTGAGTATCTTCCTGGGGAAATAGGGGCCAGGGATGCCTTGTACTCTAAAGTGCCATTGTTTCCAGAAGAGAGTATATGATTTTCCATCGGTGGAGAATAAGCTGATGGTAAAAATGAACATTTCTAGTCAGCAACTTCCATGTTTTATTAGATGGCAAAAGAACATAATTTTTAAAATTTAAGTACCAAGAATATGGTTCAATGCTGTAAATGAGATTAAAACAAACAATCCTGGTTTGAGAGAGTTTGAAATATAACAATAAAGAAGGAACAGCTGGAGTTTTACTGAAAATAACAATAACAACAACAATAATAATAATAATAGTAGTAGCAGTAGTAGTAATGCTGGCTTATTTGCAGGGATTCACTCTTTAGAGAATCTTTAGTTCCTGAAGAGGGAGTCTGAATAGGTCTCCTGTTTGAGAGACAGGAAACATTTTCTTCACTTAGGACTAGCAGAAGGAAATGCAATTAGGAAAGAATGAGATTAAAAGCACTCTTTTTGGCTCCAGTGTGCAGTAATGGGAGTAACATAGTAAGAACTCCATGCAGGATAAGAGCAGGAATTTTTTGTGTGGCAAGAATCATGTATATATTCAAAGCTGGGATCTACTACAGGTGCCCACATCCCCAATATAAGTGAAATTTCAGCATCAACATAGGTGGTATTTAGACCATGGTAAATCTCTATACTTAAAATAGAAAATGGATGCAAATATCTTACGTATTAATGATTAATGATGAAAGTTACATTACTGTGTTGTATGTTTATATATTGGGTTTGCAGGGTTTGTTTGTGTGCTTTTTGCTATTCTGAAGTTACCTGGGACATTTATGACTGGAGAGATGCAGTAATAGTTGTATTCTATCTCTAGTTAATTTAATTAGAAAAAGAAAAGAAAAATAGAAAAAGCAGTGTTACATGCTTCTGCAATGAGCTGTGATTAATTTTCTCATGAGAAGACGACAGCTAAACTTTCTAGTATTAGTTTCAATCTTTTTGTCAGACGCTGAGATACAGAATGCTTCAAAGCAAAATCTCTCTACAGGGAAAGGCCATTATGCATTCTGAAATACTCTGAACATGTAGGTGTAATGAAACGTTCCCTGAGGATAAATGAATCTGTATGCACCAACAGCCTGGGAAGGGCTACTGCAAATCTTTTCAACCTTTACTTTCCCCCTGGAATTGTTTCTGTCTTCTCATATGCTGTTGATCTATAATCTGACATAATAAACCACACTGTTTTAGAACTGCAAAATTATTATTTTGAAAGTATGAAGCTCAAGATTGGAGAGGTACATTTAGCATTTTTACTTCCTGGCCTTTGCTGAGACTCAGACCAGGCTGCTACTGAACAACATGATTGCCATCTGTTGTAACATTTGCTAACTAAATAGGCATCCTCAGCATGGCTGACCATACCACCGACACGCATGTTACAAAACCTTCCCTTCTGTTTTCATGGAGCAGACTGAATAAGGAGGATTTGAGATATTTAGCTTTTCCCTCAACTTTATCAGTCCACCAATAGCAACACTGCAAAAGTGCAGAAAAATTTAAATCCTTAGCATTTACTGCCTTCAGTAAATTTCCCCACCTTTAGCTTGCCTTAAGTGCCCACAGAATTACTAGCAGGAAATCAAGATGGGTATGGACCAACTGCTGAAGCTCTTGTCAAAATTATATTTCCATTCAGTTGCTAGATGGTGCAGCTGGTCCCTGCTGGTAGCTGAACCCAAGGCAGACAGTTTTTAATGAACAACTAATGAAGAAAGGGAGTTTTCAGTAATGAACTGTTTAGACTAACGGGCACCAGTAGTATAAAGAGTGCAGATGAAACATTAAGATTGCTGTGAATGTCAAGGGAATGGAAATGCCTGGGTATGGACACCAGGAGGAGTGGCAGGAGTAGCATAGCAATGGCATGTATCGATAAAGCTAGATTCATCAATAAGTCATCAATACTCAATATAATTATGTGCAACTTGCCAGGAAAGCCTGCACCCAAACGAAAACAAATATTCAAGCCATTAAGAGATGATGGTGGGAGATAAAGGCTAGGTTGGAGCTAGGACACTCAGGGAGCCAGCAGAGATCGGAGTAAATCCTAAAGACATGCATAGTAGGGACAGATGGCAGAGGCAGAAGATCCTTATTGTTGTCCTCTCCTTAAGAGTCCAAAAAGCCCTCCAGCAAGGAGGTTGTCAACATAAAATCTCTCTCTCTATATATATAAGGACTCCACAGCCAGCCACCAACCCTTGTACGTGGTCACCTCAGGGAATCCTGGGGATGCACATCTTTGTACCTGAGTGCTGGACATGAGCCTAGATTCTTTTGAGTGCATGGATATGACAGCCTGATTGAAATCAGCTGGCTTTTAAATGAGGACACCATCCCTTCCTATAAGATACTTCACTGAGTTTTACCATATTATTTAAACAAATTTTCCTACAACAGAATGTGCATTGAATGCAAGGACAAATAAGGCCTTGATCCTCTGGAAAAAAAATCCTGATGAACATATATAAAGTTAATGGATAGACTGAGAATAAAGCAAAGTGGACCAATGATTTATGAATTTTTCACTATGGGAGTAATAAAGCACTGCAACACAGAAGCCATGGATATGCCATCCCTGGAAGTGCTCAAGGCCAGGCTGGACGTGGCTCTGAGCAGCCTGGCCTAGTGGAAGGTGTCCCTGCCCATGGCAGGAGGACTTTAACTAGATGGTCTTTAAGGCTCCTTTTAACCCAAACCCATCTGTGACTTCACAAATTGGATAACCACAGAAAATAGTAAAGTTTTGTAAGTAGAGCAGTGACTTTTACATTCCACTAAAATATTTTATTCAAATATGAGATATATTTGCCTCAGGCTTCTACTAAGTTTGTACAAGATGGTTTGCTGCTTGTTCCAATTTTTCAGTGGACAGAGGACTCCAGGCTACAAATCTAATCATATTACAAAATGCATTTGCATGTACTTATTGCTGTAATCTTCACAAGAGTTACAGTTCAGTCTGATCACTTGGACAATGGCTAATTGGAACCAGCACAGCCATATATCTTCTACATTGCTACTTTTGCTGCAAAAATACTTTAGCAGAGTTAAATTATTTGCAATATTTCTTGAGCACAGCATTCTTAGGTGGTAATAAACATTCCATTTTTGTAGCCTTCCAAGCTGTTTCATAAACTTTAATGGGGTACTTTGAACAAGCTATGAAAAAATACAATCATCTGAAAAACTGAAATATCTCTTGTAAAATAAGTTGCAGAAGTCACTTACAGTGAGTAATATCTGGTGGGCCATAAGGATCTGTCATGTAAATGGTGGTGGGCTTTCCAACTTTCAGATACACTACATCTGATGTGTTCTTCAGTATTGCTACTGCCTCTTCATGGGTAACTTCTTCTAAACTGTAATTATTTACCTTAGAGGAGAAATCAGAAAGGTGAGTTGAAATGCAGAAACAGACATAAAAATGATACATCCTTGCAGTTTTCAAAATGTTTGGAACATTGCTGTAAACGAAGAGCACTAAAGATTATAGGAGAAATTCTGCTGCAGGGTAGGAAGTACAGTTTTCTTAGCACACGCATGTTCCAAGACTGATGTAGGAATATTGATACACAGAATCAAAATGGGTCAAGAAAGCACTTGGTTTTGACAATAAAAAAAGTTCTTTGTGATGTTCTGCTACTGGTATAATCACCAATATAAAATGGTATTTAATAATAAATTAATAGCACTACATCAGTTACAGAAACTGTCTACATTATTTGACCTAACAAAATAAACTTACGAATTAATCTCAGCCTCCACAGCTGGGACCTCAGAAATATCCAACACACCCAAATCTTTCCATCACTGATACGACACTGACCATTGAAATAAGGAGAGGTAAAAAATGGTATATAGAATACCTATGAGGTGCAGGAATTGAAAAAGGGCAGTTGAGAATGGGGAAAATATATTTTTCATTGTGAAAGTTTGTCAGTTTTCTGGAAGCACAGGAAAAAAAAACATTGAAAAAGTAAGTAGTACTAGTTCTATGCTTTTCTTAGAAGAGAAAAACACTTAAGCAAGGATAGAAGACTACAGATAAAGTAAGAAAGGAATGGTGGCAGAAAGCTTTGCCTATTTATGCTTTACTCCCACAGAAAGAAAATCAAAAGAAAAGCATCGGAAGTGGTTTATTGTAGAGGCATATAAAATTCAGTCACATATAAATGCACCATATTAACAGATTTCAACAATAGGTTGTCCTCCTATAAACAGAACCGTGTATGTTCCCTGCCACAAAATATATAAACCTCCTGAATGGAGAAATTATAGGATAGGGGGGAATAAAAGTAAAGGGTGTAGATCCAGGTTTCAGGCATGTGGCATAAGACAAGAGAAATGACAGAATCACAGAACACCTTGAGTTGGAAGGGGTCATTGAGTCCAGCTCTCTCTCCTCACAGTGTCGCCTGAAACTGAACCATGTGACTAAAAGCATCGTCCAGCCTCCCCTTGAATTCTGGCAGGCTTGGTGCTGTGACCACTTCCCTGGGGAGCCTGTTCCACTGACCTACATTTCACAGGGAATGTTGTATATGAAACATTTTACTGTCATTTAAATTGCCATCCTCCAACTTCCACAGTTACTGCAAGGATTCCTTTTAAAGATTATGCAAGATGAAAGCAGAATTCCCTCCTCCTATGCTATAATATAACAGCAAATTGCAGAAAAAAAAATATTCTTTCCAGGGAATTAGTATTAGTAAATTATCAGAAACCTGAATGTGACAATAAGCAATGGTCAAAGGGTGTGGCAACTGGAAAGAAATTCAGCTATTGTGAATCACTGAAGGACTCTTCAAATGCAAATGATTTCATCACCACCAAGAAAAAAATATTTCTATTGGATAGTATTGCTGAATGTAAGGATTCTGTCTAAACTTTTTTCACTGTATAATTCTCAAGCTTTGTTTTAAGGGTAATTAAAAGAGACAATGGCAGGTATATTATGATAATTTGACATGAAGGGCAGTGACAGAGCCTAACACTCAGAAGGGAGCTGCTGAGAGGGTATGCTGTATTTTGATAGGCCTTCTATTTAAATAAAAATCTTATGCCTAATTTCTATACATTTCTATATCTTCCTTTGTTATGAAGAGCAATAACTTACATATACCTTTAATAAATAAATGCCTTAAATTAATAAACTGGCAGGAAGAAGTGACTGAAATTATGCCTTTCTTTTTTATGTATTTCAAAACTGCCAGACACTTCAGATTCACACATTTTAGGAAGATGACCACATGGTTATCCTTTACCTCTTCTCCTTCTCACACTGTCTGTACATTGTATTTCTTGTGTTTCACCCTAACTTTTTTTGAAGTAGAGGAAATCTCACATAACCTCACCCACTATACAGCTGCTGTAAAAAAATGTTCTCAGTCAAAAAAAGACACAAAATGAAATATCTTAGAACTGTCTGGATTTTGACTTTTTGGTCTTTTTAGATGTGAATAAAAACAATTATGACACAAATTGACTTGATGCAACTTCTTTTCCAAAGGTGTTGCATTTTCTTGGGGTTTGTTTCTGTAAATTTAGCTGATAAAAATTCATCACAAGATATTTGGATGTCACAGTTGTGCAGTAAATAAGACAAAAGGCCATCTTAGAAACAGAGAATAAAGTATTATACATAGAAAACATATTTGATATGGCAGGTCCTGTGTCTTCTCTCTGACAATAACATTATGGGACAGGTGTTTTACCAGCACTGTACAAACTACTGAAATCTAGAAGTTAGGACTTAAGGAGTTCAAGCAATTCTAAACTAAGATTTAATGTCTATGCAGTTCACCATTATGTTTATTTTCATAGACATAAAGATCATAGAGTTCATGGCAAAGTTTATGTAAAATCATTTAGTCCTGGACGGCTCAGTTCTCAGTAAACAAAGAAATGAAGAAAGATTCAATCTACATCAAAAGAAAACAAACAAACAAACAAACTTGTTGATTCATTCACAAAAATTAAGATCCTCAGTGGTGCCATAAGTGGGAGCTCTTTGAGAAGGAGATGAGATCACCTTCCTTAGTCATTTGCCAACATCAGCTTAGACTTGACCTTCCAAACTTGCTTCAGAAGGCAGTTCTTGCTTTGGGTCTACAATTCCTATTAATAATCCTATGTGCATCTATCAATATATTTCCTACTTTTTGACCATAAAACAATGATCACAAATAAAGACATCTGTATGTGTTCTGCTATATAAAAAACTTGAATACTTAGAAGAATTCTATTGTTCAGACCCCTAGATATTATTGCAAGATGACTGTAGTACGTAATTTTTTTTCATAGGGGAATCTCTGGACATCTTTCCTTAAAACATTGTACAGAGATGATAATAATAGGAAATGATGTTGTAGTTGACTTTTATGTTGAGATTTATGCCAAGAAAGACTATTTCTGAAGCTATTTCTTCCATAAAAGATGCCTATCTTGACAGAATTGTAAGTACTAAATCTGGCTTTTTTGGTGATTTGGCCCAATAAATGAATTATAGCAAAGCTTTACTTTCTCCTGTAGAGATAACCTTATATATTTCTGCATACAGCTTGCATAAAAAGGGTTGAATTAGAGGTAAAGAAGATAAAGAGTAGGAGATGCACACAAAGTAAGACATCAAAGTGTATACAGCATGCAATCTTCTGAGAGGCTGAATTTTTGTGCAGAATAGCTGACTTAATTCTGAGTGGGTAGAATGGGTACTGCATGCCAACTTTCTGGATCTAAGAAGCCAATTTAAGTAGCATTTAATTAAGGGGAAAAAAAATCCCTTAAGGCAAATGTTAAAAAAGATATTTATCTGAGTGGTCAGTTTAGTCACAAAGTTATATGTTTGAGACAAAAAATGCTGTGACAGGAGCCAAAGGAAAAGAGTCAGAAAGAAAAAGAGCATGGAATAAATGGAGCTTTTCTAATGGGAAAAGTTACATGCAGTGAAAATTTAAAAATGCAAATAGCATCTGAAGAAAAAAAAAATAGGAAAGCTTTTTCTTTAAATAGAAAGTATGTGATATAAGACATACTGGTAACATGAGAAATGAATAAGGGAACGAAATAAAATAGCAGTAGAGAAGGAAATTAAAGATAAAAGTCCAATCAAAGAAGCTATTTGAGTGATGGGGGAAATCAATAAGAAATTATGTCAAAGAGATATAAAAAGACTGGGGTGTTTTTTTTTTCCCCTAAATAGCATAATCAGGGAAAGGAAGTATAAACCTAAGCAAGAATGTTTTATTTGTTTTATTTCCTAGATACTGGAAAATCAAAAGCCCCAAAAAGCAGCTAGAAAAGCTTAGAATCCCCAAAATGACTTTACAAGTGCTCTAAAGAATAATTTCATTCAGAACAATATAAGCTGATATGGGAGTAAGAGCTCCGGAGGAACAAGTCTGTCTTATTTAATTTTCTTTTTTTAAAGGGGATTTGTTCATTTCCTCTATTGATTTAGGCTAAGAAAGATTCAATTCACTGAGTGAATGAGACAAAGGGGTGATCTTTACCTTACCAGTGGTAATGTTTGCTTTTCTGTAATATTCAGCTTTTCATTCAGACAGTGGATTTTCCTGGGTGAACATCTACCAGTAAACACCTGCAACCTGCCAGCTGTAAATCTAGGATGCTGATGGCCTTTTTCAATACTCACTCACTTAAAAGGCTGCAAAAAGTGGGATGCTTTCCAGTGCTGAAGAGTAATGATTTGTACAAAGGATATAAATCTGTTTGCACTAACTAAATACTTACAATCCCACGGACTTGTGAGTCAGTTGCACAAGTGCAGGGCTGTTTTATAAAAGATGATCCCACAAAGACAGCCAAAATCACTTTAAAAAACACCTCTGATCAGAACCAAATGCTAATCTGGATGCATATTGAATTACATGCTCTGATTTTATGCACTTTAATAAAAATGTGATCCTGCATTAATACACAGGCTGAAAGAAACAGATATTGGTAGGGGACCCTATAAGGAACACATCAACAATTGCACAGTCACAACCCCAATGCAGTCCTATGAAATTACCAGAAAATAACTTTTTCCAGAAAGGAGACATACATTTCTGAAAAGGAAAGTGACTCCTGTTTCTTCCTCCTGTTTTCATCAAGAAAACAGAATCAAATTAGGCCTCTTGTTATATTTAATCACTGATCTCTGTGACTACATGGGCCAAATATGCAATGGTATTTTGGCATATGGGATGTATTTTAGAAAAGCTAATAGTTATAAAAGATTAATAATAACTTACATTTTCCTTTAAACCCTCATGGTTTTAGCATTTTCCCTGAAAAATGCCTTGCTTCTAGCTATTAGTGTTGTTATGTACTAGTAAAATCTAGTACCAGTTTTATACTGATTTCTCATTTATTCACACTGTAGATAACAAACTTGTCCAAAGTAAGATGATGGTATGAGATAAAAAAAGTAATTATTATCTAGGCTGTAATAACTGAAACCACTTTTCAGTTTTTCTTGATCATCATTAGTAGTGATCTTGAAGAGGTGAGACATGCATCATGTTTGGCGGTGACCCTTCATTTCACTGTGAGATACTTGAGGGCAGGGCTGCCACAGACTGGAAGAAGGACCTGAAGAAGACTTTATGATGATCAGCAGGAAGAAACAGTAAATCCTGCTCCAGGCACAGGCTCACTCCCATCAATAGCACAGGCTGGGCACTGACAGCCTGGCAGCATCTCTGTGGAAAAGTGCTTGGGGCTCCTGATGGATGGCAAGCTGGGCATGAGCCAGCTGTGCATCCCAGCAGCAAGAAGGTCAACAGCATCCTGGACTGGATGAGCAGAGCAGAGGCTGGAGAATGAGGAAAGGATTATTCCCCAGCAGTTCACACTCATTAGACTGAACCTGGACAATCTGTCCAGTTGTAGTTCCTGCACTACAGGAAAGGTAACAAAAGAAGGCAAGAGCTATGCTACTGAGATGGCTGGAGATGCAGCACTGACCTGCTGAGGAGAAAATGAGGGATCTTGGCACTTTCAGCCTGGAGAAGGGGTTCCTCTGAAGACAACTATTAACAGACCCCCAGTGCTTATAGGAAGATCATCAAGGCAAAACTATGCTTTTTAGAATCACATGTGGTAACAGGATGAGTGACACCAGGCAGATGTTGAAACAAGAGAGGGCCAAACAGGTTATCAGGAGAAATATTTTTCTTAGGAGTACAGCTGAACTGTGGAACAAGTTTTGAGATGCAACTGGATAAATCCCTGAGCAATCTTGTCTGGCCCTATAACTGACCCTGAATGACCATGGTGGTCTGTGATGCTCTGTACATGCTTTACTTCTGCTCCTTTCCACTGAAGACAGAAGCCGAGACACCACTGCAGTGGGATTCTCACCACTGGCCTTACCACCAGCAGAAGGAGGCATTACCACTAGAACACAGTGAGGGAGTATTTTTCTCCTAGCTGTAAGTCTTCAGAGAAGAGCTCTGGTCTTTTCCTTTCATACATACCTAGAAAAAACATTCAGTTTTTGGTTTAAACACTCATGCTTTCACCAGTACTTTTCCAAACAGGTACCTCGGGATTACTGTACAATGGAGCATTGTCCTGTGCAAATGCTCAGGTCACTAAGTCTTAAGTGCAAGCTTAGTGCCACAAAAACATGACTGCAGAACATGCCCTTGTACAGATTTCACAATAATCACAATGTATTATTTACATAATGCATCTTCAGAAATCCTTAACACACTATATGCAATCTGCATTTAATAACAGTAGAGTCATCAAGCTGCAAAATGCTCAGGTGGCCCCTTCTTGTCTTAAATTTCAATACTAGTTTTTGTCTTGCTTCTACACTTTCATCACCTCTTAAATTTATATTCATTTGATTTGCACTTCAGGATCTGAAAGCATTTCACACATAATTATCAGAATACAGATACAAAAATTAAAAAAGCTCTCCAGCAGCTGCTGAGAATTCCAGAAGGATGACAAATTCTTTTAAATTCTGTAGAGAATGATGGAAAAAACCAAAGATCAAGAAAGGATGCATTACTGAGAAGGAAAAAAACCAAAAAAGAGGAAGTGTTCAAACATATAACCAAGAAATCAGTGAAGCAGAGGTAGGACCATATAGAAGACAAGGGTAATAATCTGTTGAAACACTGCCAAAAGAAAGTAATTAATTTTTTCACTCACTATTCATAAAGGAACATGAAGTTAATGCTATGAACTGACAGATAATTTACAAATTAGGATAGAAAAATACTGAAGGTACAGAAGTTACAAACAAATCAGGTTGTCTAGGTGGAGAGAATCAAGAAACATGGCTGCAATCTGCATGAATTTTAGAAACAGATGTTGATCTTGTAAACGTATCTCCAAATACGTAATGATTACGGTATACAAAGAGCAAGCTGACTAGTATTTTCTTATGCAACAGGGAAAAGTTTGGTCTGGAAGTACATAACTAGAGGAGAGCAATACTTGGAATGATTTTTTTTACTCATTTCCCATACAGTGATAAAAGGAGACAACACTTCATAAAGAAACAGTCCAGAGTGAAAGGAAAGAACAACAAAGACATCAAACGTAATACAAATGACCTCTGGTCATTTTCAGAAGTATAAAATTGTTACAATAAAGAAACATCTATATCTGACTGCAGTGAATCACAGGTTGAAGGCTGAGATGCTTAATAGACTACTCCCATAAAAATCTGAAAAGAATGAATTTATGCACAGTGGTATAGAAAATATTTCTATTTAAATTAGTTCTAATGAAATTCCACTGGAGAGGGTGAATGTGGAGGGTTTGCATCTATTTGACTTCCTTTTATGTAAGACATTTACTACCTCATGTGAATTGGAAAAAATTAAGAGTAAAGTAACAAAAATTACAGATAACACAAAAACTGCAAGGAAATCAGGGTAAAAAGCAACAAAAGCAGCTGAACAGAAGCAGATTTGCAACAAGCTGCAAAATAACTGAAGTGTAGATTTGGCAAATAAAAATATACACTTCTGCACCAAAATAAGTCGAAACTTCATCATCCAACAGTGACTTGAATTTCACTATGCTGAGATTATGCAAAGACAAAATGCCAAAGGAATTTTGAGTCCTAATTTCATTTTGCTCTGATTTTGCTAACACCAGTTGATCCTTAAGCTGTTTTATCTACCCATTTGGGTTAATTAAAAAAGACAAAGAGTCACCAACCCAGCAACCAAGTGCTTTTCCAGTTCTGTTTAGTACTCTGTCATAAAATTAATGGCCATCTTCATATGTGACTGGAACAGAGTGTCCCTAGCCAAATAAAGAAAACCTCAGTTAGGCCCAGCTTCACAGGCAGCAAGAAAGGTTGAGGCAATTTTTTACTGCTTAAATATCACATCACAAAATAGGGCTAATGCAGTACAAGGTTTTTTTTTTCATTGCACTTATTAAAAAAAAAATTCTCTACCTGCTGAAATCTCTCCAAATGCATTGACATGAATACAACTTGACATAGATTAACTTGTGCTCATTCATCAGGGTCAGGATTTCCCCCTCAGTGTTGAATTAAACAAACTCTGTGAGTGGAAAAGCATTATTGATAAGAAACAATGAACCAGCATGGCACAGAGCAGGAAGAATTTCCTGAATTGAGTTCCATCTGAAGAATACACTTCCTCAAGGGAAAATTTGGAAAACGTTTGGGGTTTTTTAAAACATCTATATGGAACATCTAGATAAAGCCTTCCTACAGGTACTGAAATGTAAGTAGTAGTCCACTGAGAGTTGCTACATGGGAGTCATTTACTGGCATGTTTTGACAGCTTTCAATTTGTGTACAACAAACAGTAGAATCAGTACTACCTTAACAAACACTTTGTCTAAAATCTTTTAAGATTTATGGTCTATTTTCACTTGCTGCTTACGTGCATAAGACATTTATTCTCTTCTCTATAAAAGGTTTGTCAAAGTAATACAATGCACTGCCTTCATAAAGTGTCAGTTTTCCAGAGAATTTTTTTTTTTTGCTCCAATAGCAGAAAAATATTTTAAAAATGGGCAAAATTCAGATGATGGAAATACAATTATTATAGCAGTTGTTTTGGTTACCTCCAGAAAGATGTATGGTGAATGAAAGTCCTTCTATGAAACATTTTTCAGCTAAATAAATGGGATTTAAATTTGTCATACTTACCATAAGAAGTCTATCTCCAACCTGCAATCTCCCATCTTTTTGTGCAGCTCCCCCGTCAATAATCTTAGTGACATAAATGCTGTTGTCCCCAGGGATGTGTTGGTTTCCCACCCCTCCTGCAATACTGAATCCTAGACCTGGAAAAGATATTGCAAACAAAACATTAGCAATACAACATGTAACACTAAAGAGAAGTGGAAAAGTAGTATATACAATGCAAATTTTTTTTTTTTTTCAGAAATAAAAATAATATACTCTTTCACTTTCCCTGAAAGGTCAGGGAAAAACTAAAGCAAGGAAATTCTTTGCCATTTACAATTACAGAAAGGTAGAGACAAAAATAATTGAACCAGTGACAATTCTGTACACCATCTTCACTGGGGTCCAGCGCAGCCTACATCAAGAAGTTATGGCTCAGCTTTCCATGACCAGCATGAAAACACTGAAACTTGGAGTTTGTTTTGTTAAATATTGCTAGAAAATACATCACCATCTATCAGAACAAAATGAAAGGTGTTCTGATTGTCCACACAATTTGAAAAATACTTGGAGAGGTCTAGCACAGGTTTTGCAAGTTCATGTAGTACCACAGTGAAGGGTCAGTGAAAATAAAAGTGAAAAGGTGTAGATGTTTGATTTAAAGTGTGGGTTTTATTCTTAGGACACAAATCTGTGGCTATGGACGCATAAAGAAAGCAATAGTCCATTGTAGATATATAACTCCTATGCAGTGGTCTGTGAAATTCCTAGATAAACACTCAAAGACCCAAACTTTGTAACAATGTCAATAATACATGCCGATATGATTAAAGGAAGGCAAAATAAATAGATGTTGGGGGAAGAAAAAAATACCCTTTTCCCCTTTTCCTGTATTTCTTACCCTCTGACACATTGCACATACACGCAAATCATTGCTTTAATTTTTAGGAACAGTTTTATATCTCAATCAAAGAAAAGACAGAAATTACTGTGCTTGATTTCCACAAAAATTAACTTCATACAGCTAATTTTTCAGAGATTATGTAGCTAATGGGAACCCCCATCTGAACAGAGAAGCTGTTTCTGACAATACCCTGCTTAGATTATTGCTCCAACTAGGGATTTCTCTTATAGCTGTACAGAAAAACAGTTATATCTATTTAGAGAGTAATCACTGGTTTTATCTATGAAATCTATGCTGTTCACTCATTCCTAAAAGAAACATGTTGATAATTGCTGTAGCCTGAGCAGTAAAATGCAGTAGTAAAAAGTGAGTTGCCTGAAATCTGGCATTTCATCACAAACTCAAAAGGGACACTGCTTGGGCAATAAAAATTAAGGGACAGTGTATATTTAATGCACACAACATTTTTAGCAGCTGTATGAGTACAGAGATAAAAGAAGGTTTTGAGTGAATTAAATATTTAATTTTTTTCCCCCATTATTTTCATTCGATCATTATTGTAGCTTCAAAAAGATGTGAGGTCAGGTACCATAATGGACTATTTAATGGAATGTGCCACACCAGTAAATTACAAAAAGAAACCTTTGAATTTATATCTCCATTGAAACAGTACTTAATTAATTGACTATTAACAATACACATGAAGTTAATTCAGAAGTATAGGGTAATTAAAATAAAGCTTTATTGAATTTCCAGCTAAAGCTGGCAATCACTCTTATTTATGTGCTACTGTCAGTACACGGATAAAAGGTTCATGATTTTTTCAGCAGGAAAAGATTTTTCCTGGGATTGCTATCAAAGAAGAGAAAATATATTCTAATAAAACATTAAGAATGTAAATTTTCTTTAAAACACTAGTTATGGACAAGGAACAATGACTGAATAATATTTTGTGGTGACATAATTGTAATCAATTTGATCTAAACCCCATCTGTATAGGCTTCTACCAGTAAAGATCTGAGAATATTCCAGAATGCTGGTGGGAGCAAATGAGTGGGCTAGATCTCAGTCAGAGAGCTTTCCTCAGCCTCACTGCTCACCTAAGGCATGACCGTGGGAAGAACAGGTTGTGGTGCACTCCCATCACCTCCTGTCCCCTTTATTGGCACTGTACAGGTGTAAAGGGCAGGGCCATTTCTGCACACACTGCTGGTCTGCACTTTGCACAAAGTGGGCCCTAATTCAGCCTGGTCCTGCTGCAACACAAGCAAGTAGTAGCCAAGACAATCACCTGCATTTCCTGCAGGGCTGAGTGGTGGGCTTGCCTTGCTGTCTGCATGGTTGCAGCACAATGTATGTATGAAACTGTCAAACAAAAGAGCACCAACACAAACTGCTTACATTGCAAAAGCGAAGCTTAAAATAATGGAAGGAGTAACTTTTTCTACTACAGTTTACATAAAATTTAGATGTGATACAATATGGGGGCTGCATTGCATTTGTAAGCAAGGTCTGACTTTGGGCATCCAAATAACCAGCAGTGATTATACAAAGGTTTAGAAGAGCAGAACAAGGTGGGGTAATACTGAGGGGAGCAAAAGGAGAGTGGGTAGGAAAGAAAACTGAGGAAGAGAAAAATTTTCCATGTCAATCAATAATGAATTAATTTCACTGCTTAATCATACTTGCCTTCTTTAAAAGATTTCTTCTTGGAAGGAACAGGGAATGGAACAATGCCCCATTTAATTTTATTTAAATTACTTCTGCTAATTGCTAGGGCACATGGAAACTACACTACACAAAAACTTTTGGGTGGGATTCATGTGGCCAAATGACATCAGACAACTGTGGTTATCATTTATACCGCCTGTATGATAAATGAAAATTCATTAAGAGCTTTTAAAATATGATTCATCTCATCTCAACAAGACATCTGAAAGAGATGAGGTGAATCATACTTTTGGGTTTCTGAAAGGCTGGGGTCTGGATGTGGGAAGAGGTGTGTGGGAAGATCAGTGCTATGAAAGTGCACAATCTGAGTTCATTTTGACTGAAGGTTTCTATTTAAACACTTTGGAAAGATTTGCTCAACCCTGGTGTGCATCTCTGGTCACTCACTACATCAAGTTAGCTTTACATCAAATTCTTACTCTGTTTTAAAAGCAGAGAATCAACCTGTTCCAAACAATGGAACAAGATATGTTTTCTAAATGGTATTTTTCATAACGCAGCATATTTGATTGCAGAACCTTTTCCTTGTTGATTCCTTTGGTTATGAAAACATTTCCATCAGAACACAGATCAAGAGTTGATCACTTCCTCTTTGGCTGACATACAATCTGCTTCACAGAAACAGCTGATCTTGGAGAGAGTGCTCAAATTCCTCACAACAGAAATTACATGGGAGGCTAAATTCAGAATGGAGTCGAGGAAGAAATGTTATATGATGATGGTGGTGAGGCACTGGCACAGGCTGCCCTGAAAAGTTGTGGATGCCCCATCCCTGGAAATGTTCAAAGCCAGGTTGAATGAGTCCTTGAGCAACCTGATCTAATGCTAATAAGTAACAGGTTTGGAACTTAAAGACCCCTTCCAACCCAAACCATTCCATGTTTCTGTGATTCAGTGAAGAAGAGACTACTTCAAGAGGAGAAAAAGTGAGAACTGGATTTAACACTGGTGCACATCTAAGTTAAACTCAGCTTTGTTCAAAATCACTGAAAAGGCCCTTCTAAGATTGACTCAATGAGTAAACTAGGAAAGTTGAGTTGAACCTAATTTCCTTTCATTTCCACTGGATTTGTAAAATTTGTTTGTAAAATTCACTTGCCTTTGGTTTCCACAAATGCTGATAACTGATTCTGTGAATAATAATGTGCAATAATCCCATGAAAAAAGCAGACGATTCTGGTATCAGAAAGAGGAAAACGGACAGGGACAAAAGCTATTCCACCAAAACTGGAAACTGCAGAAAAAATGCTACTATTAATAAGTTGAAGATATTTAGTAGTATCTTTTCCCGGGATTATTAGCAAGAACATATTAAAATATTTGGCTATTTACACCTATTTTGCATTATTTGCCATACCAGATACATGTTTTAAATATATCACTAAGTTAGTAAAACAATATGTTCTAACTATTTTTCTAGTACAAGTAGGCTTGGAGGCTCCCCATATAATTAGTCCAGCAAAGCTGGACTAATAAACATAAATAATAATAACTAAAAGTAATAAAACCTCTGTTAAAGACACAGTGGGTTAATTACACTGCAGGCATACCACTTTGCAGTAACCAGAGAGGGAGCCTAAAAGATCAACTGCAGCTATGCAAAGTCAGCTTTCTAAAGAGAAGTGAAGTTAAAGAAAGTCAGAATGCCAGAAATGGATGTTGCATATTGCTACTAAACCATACAGAGAACCAAGCTTATTTTAAATCAGCAAACAGATTGAGGATTTTAAAACAAAATCCAACATGACTTTCACAGCTCCCAGTAAGGGGAACCCAAAGAAAGCACCATTTAAGTCATAACCTTAAAATATAGTTAAAAAGTGCTTGATTTTCAGGTAGTTAACCAAAACAGTGTGCTTTAGAGAAATAAAACAGGTAATTCCTAATTCCTGGCTATACCACAGTACACCTTGCCTCATAACTGATCTGCGAGCATAGACTTAGTGAAACCACAACAGGCACAGGACTTTCAACAGAAATATTATCATATTAACAAACAAAATGAACGAGAATAGGAATGTAAATACTAGAAGAAAGACCAAAGGTTAGAGAAATCACATGCACTGACAGTACAGAGTATTCCAAGCAATAAAAATCAAAACGAGTCATTTCTGTCAAGCCTGGACAGAATGTCTGGACTCTGTAAGACCTTTGAACAGGTGTCTTGCCAGCAGAAGACCCTCTACCATGACAGTGGGATGTTGGCCGCAAGATTGCAGCATGTGACATCTGCCATTCTCTTGCCTGCAAGCCTAACAGGGAAGCAGATCATATCAATAAAAATGTGTGTTTACTAAATGAAAAAAATCAGCACATGAGCAGCCACCTTGTGGCTTAGACACTGAAGAAAGGAGTGTTCAGTATAAAGGACCACCCATAACAACAGTAGACTCCTAGACGGTATAAATAATTTACCCAAAAATCTGTCAGTTCCCAGTTGCCAATCAAGAAAATGCCGAGATGTGGTAAGGGTTTGATGTCCCATGTCCTTTGTGTCACACACATGTGATCCAGACCACCCAG